ACGGATATGACTGCTCCTAGGTCTGGCAGAGCAGAAAGTTTATTATAGATATGTGGGAGACATAGTCAGAAGCAGGGACATCTGGGAGAGTCCAGAGTGGACGTGACCCTGGGCCATGTGAGGAGGGGGTAGGGGTAGGTAGAGGGGTGAGAAGGGAACCAAGTGCAGCAGCCAGGAGGGCAAAGGTACAAGGAGAGTAATAACCAAAATGGTTGGATTATAGGGAAGGGCAGCCCAGCCCTTTGAGTTGGAGAGTTCAGGGTCTAGGGGCAGGGTGTGCCAGCCAGGAAGACCCTGTAACAGGTAGGGACAGGGATGCTGGGAGAACCTGGTAGCCAGGTCCACTTTGATATGTTACATAGGTACCTCAGCCTTTAGTCCCAGGTTGGAAACCAAATAGTATACAGGCCAACTCATTCAAATTCTTAGAAGAGCTCCATTGGTGATGGCTACTGAGTAGCATTTATCCACTCATGCTTGGCAAATATGTGCTGCCTTACCACAGTAGTAATTGTTCTGACAGTAAATAAGACAGAGACTACCCTTAAGTTCCTGATGCTGAGTTCTAGAGAGGGTCAGGGATGTAGACAGCACTAGCTAAGTTTGGCTGTGACTTTGCATCCCTGTCTCCTCTGTTTCTTTCTTTCTATCTTAAATGAGAAGGAAAAGGTTTCCTTCACCTATTCTCCTTCTAATGAGAGTCATAATTGGAGTTTAACTAAAAATCATTTGTTGGGAATTTGGAAAAATAATGATATTGCTCATGATATGGCTCAAGTACAACCCCCAAATCTCTGCTATGAGTAAAGCACATGTTGAATCTACTGGCTTAGAAGATTTGGCTCCGTCTATAAGCTCTGGTTTATGGTCATTAAATCCTGTTAATTGGCTACATTGGATTATTGTTGTTGCTGTGGCTTCAGGAATAATTCTTCTTTCCCTTATTCTCCTAGTCATCTTCCGACTAGTCTTTTCTTCCTCCATTTCTACAGCCAAAAGAGATATCTACAAGCTTCAACTAAAAAAGAAAGGGAGAGATGCCACACCAGATTCTGTGTGACAAGTTCCACAGACTGAGGCGATAACTTCAAAAGGAGGTCTCCTGGAAACGGTTGTGGAACTCTGGGCTGAAGAAAAATCTTGAACCATAGTTCTCACGGCAATCTCTGTTCTTCTATTCATTTCTCATATCAATGAAATGTTCCTGAAAGCCTATGCTGATATTTTAAACAAAATATATAAGTGAGAAACCGTCCCCTGAGATGTGGTCACTAACCATGACCTCGTCTCCAGGAAAACCAGCGCTTTTCAAGTAATTCATATCATTCACATAAGTACAAATAGTATTGATGAAAACTTTCCAACAATAAAACTATGTTGTACATGTGTAATTGAGAGTAGGTTTAAACGTTTGGTAAAGAAAGCTTTTTGATAAGAAAAAGTCAAAATAGTTCAATATTCCAAAGATTCACAAGAGCTAGGCAACAAATGTTAAACAATAATTGACCATAAAAATTTATTAACCTGATCTTAGAAAATAGGCGGTTAGCTGTGGTCAACCTTGAATGATTTTCTGATTTATTGTTAGCCTTGGATAAGTTGTATGTTATTGTGCCTAGTAATGTTGATGTCATTTGTTCTATCTGGGTTTGCTTCAGTGAACACAAAGTCTGAGAAGTTATGCTTTATCCTGGATAAAAATTCTTGCTTGAGAATTGCAAAAATATACTCAGATTCAAACTGACTCTGTACTTGTTTCTGTTTGTCACTGCCAAATCCTTACCCACCTAGTCTTTGAGAACCCTTGTCCTAGGGACCCTCACACCCAGCTGGGGTGGTACATAGCAATAAATCATTTGGAGTATGCATCCTGAGAAGGGATAAAAAGATGTCAAAGAAGAATACAACACTCAAAGAAACCATTTTTTTTTTAAGACTGTTAGATGCAGGTACTGTTCTCTAGGCATGAATAGGCAAAAATGAGTTAGACAGCAGATTCAGCAATGATGGAGCCAAGATAATTTTCTGTATCCACATACTGGAAGCAGATGCCCTTATTCTCCTTCAGAGTGGTGCTTAAATACTGATGCTCAGGGTGACCTTGGCATGTCCATCCACAGTGGATCAGATAGAGTTTGTCTCTTGTTTCTGTTTCAGACCTTTCCCTCTTTGTCATTGCAATTCGAACACCAGATCTGTGGATGCCTATAGTGGCAAAGTGGGACACCTGCTGCTCTTACTCACTCATAACCTCCCCAAGGAATGCCTATGACCTTCAAGCAGGTCTGAATTCTGGAATAATTGGTTTGTATAACATTCATAAAACTTAATAAGACTTCATGACATTAACATTTTCTTTTTTTTTCTATAATTTTTGTTTTCTGAGCAAGAGAGGCTATTGATTCTGTTTTCCTGCTTTTTTTTTTTTTTCAAAGAATGGCATGTCTGTGTGGTATGCTTCTTGTAGGTATATTTTCACAGCTGACCATTTGGTATTTAATAATCCATTGACACACACTTCATCTCAGTCATCGTTAGTCTTTGTCAGGGTTGAGGCCTTATGTGCATTCTACTCTCCACATCAGCATGTTGGTTGTTGGCACCCTTGTTCAGGCCATGTTTAGGGAGCCTATTTTGATTGTTTTGAAATCCTATGTGGTATCATCAACCATTAGGTCGTTTCAAGTGCTTGGTGACCCTGGAAAGAGCTTTCACTGGAATCTGAATGGCTGGTCATTCCTTCCTCCATCATAATCACTTGGCTCCCTGCTATCATGATGTTTTGGCAGAGTTGTGGCCATGGCCTCCTGACTTGCCTTCCTGTTACTGCTGCTGTCCTATGCACCAAGTGGGGTGTTCCTTTTAAACATGAGATTAGAACATTTCCCTCAGAAGATGCCAACCTTCCCATCTCAATCAGAAAGAAAATCAAACATTTTACAGTCGTTTATTGGACCCTGCATGAGCTGACTCTTACCTCTAAGAGTAAGAGTCTTACCTTTGACTCTTACCTCTAAGAGTAAGAGTTATCTCTTGCACACTTTCCACTTTACCTACAGCTCTCCAGACTTCACAGCCTTTTTGACATTTCTTTATCATGCCAGGCGCAGTCCCTCCCACTCTCTTGAATGCATTCCTGAGATGTCCATGCTCGTTGTCTCACCTCCTTCCTGCCTGCTTAAATATTGCCTTGACAGTGACTTCCCATCTGCTCACTCCCTCTCACCTAGCTGTTTTTGTTATCCACTTCACTTACCATCATTGCACAGGATGTTTTATGTTGTTTCAACTATGTAAAATCTTCCTTGTCAGCTCAAGAGTTTGAACACTTGGTGCCTGTGAAGTCCAAAGGAAATTTCATTCCCCCAATTCTGGTGGTTAGACAAAAGCATTCCTCAGAAACTCAGGAAGCTGGTTCCCCTCTACCAAAAGAACCAGTTCCCGTATCACTGGCAGAAGGGAAAAATGACTATCTGTGGTCCCTATTAGCATACCAAGATACACGCTGGCCTCCAGGCTCCTGACAAGTATTTGTTGCAGAGGCCATGCTGTTCTCAACCTTCTGGCCTACCCTCCTATCTCAAGCCCCCGCCACCCCACTCCCCAGGAGCTTCCCTCCCCGCAGCTACACCTTTCTCCTTATAACCCTGCTATTTTGGCTATGCTCTCCCTGGTTTCTCTTGGCCCTTCTTAGTCCTCTCTTTCATCTGGACTCTTCCAGATGCCTCTGGTTGTTTTCTCCCTCATATGTACAATAAAACCTTCCCTTTAACTAGACCTTGGAGGGTCAAGTCTCTAATTTATACAGTCCCCAGCTGGTGTCACTTTTTTGGGGGGCGTTATATGATCTTAGGAGGTGGAAGGCCACTGGAGGAAGTGGATTACTGGAGGTGGGCCTTGAGGTTTTTAAATTGCCCCTCCCTGCTTCTACTAACTCTGCTTCCCAACTGCTGTACAATGTGGCTAGTGGGCTTCCTCCTCTTCCCTGAGTTTTCCATGCTGTAGTGGGATGTAGCCCACCTGTAAGCCAGAACAAACAATTTCTCCCTATATTGCTTCTTGTCAGGTATTTGGTCACATGAACAAAAGTAATTAATACAGAAAGTTGGTAGCAAGAGTACTAAAAACATTGGTGGAACCCGGGGCTGGACTTCTCCTATCTTCTTCTTCTCCAGCTTACCTTTTCAGATAGTCTTCCCTGGACCCGGTGCTCACTGTTTTCAGCTGGGCTGGCTGGTTGGTGAGCTCGTAATCCTTGTGCCTCCTGTTTGGGGGTTGCAGGCAGGTGCAGTCACACCTGACTACTTATGCCTGTGTTGAGGATCTGAACTCAGGGAGTCATACATGTCCTGCACCACACCCATGCAGCGATCTTTCTGCCGTCTTAGTGATTTCAATAATTCCTGTAAAGCAGAAGCTGTTGGCACTCACTTCTTAATCATTCTCTTTCTGTACAACACTCTTCTCAAGGCTTCCTTCTTCCCTGTACAGAGAAAGCTTCCTTGGTCCCCTGCTGTCCAGTGAGACCTGCTTTACTTTCTGAACTACTCAGAAGAGGCTTTTACTCATTGGCTACTTACTATATAAATGCCCCATTATATAAGGGTTTTTAGATTTTTGTGTATGAATGTTTGCCTGTATGTCTGTATATCATGTCGGTGCCTGGTGCCAATGGGGGTCAGAAGCAGGTGCTGGATCCCCTGGAACTAGAGTTGTGGATTTTTGTGAGCCAACATATGGGTGCTAGGAACTGAACCCCGGTCTGCAACAAAATCAGCAAGCTCTATAACCACTGAGCATCCCTCTACCCACTGACCCATTTTAAAAGAAGCTATTCTTAGAATTACTTTAAAGGATATATATATATGTTAGAAAACATATATATATATGTTAGAAAACAATTCTATAGCATTCATGCATAGCAACAAGTAATATATAAAATATGTCAAATAGCTATGAAAGACTGCCCAAGTGCTTCAATAAATGAATACACAAGTAAGTTTTGGTTTCAAAACATTTTACTTAAAAATAACAAGTAATGCTCCATAAAAAAAAAATATGTACAAACTTCCACTGACAAGTTCTTTCAAATTCTATCAGTTTGAATTAAACTTTAAGCCCAACTTTGAGTAGCTTCCAGCTTTTCCTTCAAGGTGAAACTTGTAAACATACTGTATACATGAACTTACAATTATGAAGGCATATGAAAAAAAATTGTTCAACGTGTCCCTTGAGGCGATAAGGAGGGAGCAGCAGTGGCTGCAGGAAGCAAGGCTAATAGAGGAAACTTGATTGCAGCTAACACATCCAGAAAGGAGCTCATCAGCAACAATATATTCCTTTGAAAAAGTCTTGTATTTTGCAGAGTAAACCCGGCCGTGCCCACAGTGCCCCCACACATGGATCTAAATCAAGACATTCCATGTGGTTAATATCATCAAAGGTACAACAACTTCTCACAAATTCAAAGCGGAAAACCGCCTAGGAAAATCCGATCCTTCACCACTGGCAGAACTCAGGTGGTCTCAGGTGTCTTTGGCATCTGTTGTGAGTCTATACCCAATCAAGGACTCCTTCCCACCACCGTCATCCACCAGCACATCCACCAGCACGTGTGGTTTATCATAACCAAAGGAGGTGGGGGCCTTCCTCACGGGGGTGGGCTCTGGCTCTGTGGTCTTGGTTTCCGGGTTATTGTGTGGGAGGAAATCCGAGTCAGCCATGGAGCTGCCTGACCCCACGAGGCCACTGTCGGAGCTGGAGCCGTTTCTGGAGTGATAGGTGGTGATGCTACAGGGCTCCGACTGGTTACTACTTAAAAGGGAAGAACTGCGTCTCTGTATTGGAGATGGAGGACTATCGAGGGCCACAGCAGAAGTACTTCCTTCGGGGATCATAGCCTCAGTTTCACTTAAAAATTCTCCATATTTTGTTGCTCCCGGGTTGTCTGGAAGTGTCACTGTGGACAGCTGCTCTTCACAGATCACCGTCTCATTCTCAAGGACAGCTGGCTGGTACGATGTGCCAAGTGATGCATACTTAGAGTCAGGTTTTGTCTCTGAAGTGGCATTTTTTACTACAGAGAGCTAAGTTGAAGGGAAGCAAGTAAAGATAGAAAATTATTGAGCTTAAATGCTTGTTAAAAAAGAAAAGGTCTTAAAAGCAAATAACATATTTCAGAAAACATAATTAAAATAAGCTCACTGCATTTTTTTTCTTGATCTTTTTGTTTGTTTAAGACAGGGGCTCATGTAGCCTAGGCTGGTCTTGAAGTCAGCGTGTAGCAGAGGATGGCCCTGAACTCCTTTGTGACACTCCTGCTTCCACTTCCCAAGTGCTAGGACATAAAATGTGTGCCACCCTGGGGCTTAACTTATCTACCTACCTACCTGTTCATCATTTATTTAAAGGCAAGGTCTTACTATGTAGCTCTTGTTGGCTTGGAACTCAGGCTGGCCTCAAACTCACAGAGATCTGCCTACCTCTGCTTTCCAAGTTCTGGGAGCTTGCCTTTTCTTTATTTTTTAAAATAATTTTAAAAGATTTATTTATTTTATGTATATGTTGCTCTATCTCCGTGTATGCCTGCAGGCCAGAGGAGGGCATCAGATCCCATTATAGATGGCTGTGAGCCACCATGTGGGTGCTGGCAATTGAACTCAGGACCTCTGGAAGAGCTTCCAATGCTCTTAATCACTGAGCCATATCTCTAGCCCTTGTCTTTTCTTCTTAAGAGAACTTATTTAAGACTAAAATATTAAGTCATTAAATATCTCATAAATGTATGTTGCCTTTTTCTTACCATCTTCTATGTGTCTGTGGGAAAGCTACCGTCAAGAGTTTTACCAACGTAAATTTCATGTCAGTGACTTGGCATTTCTTTAGAGTGATGTTTTCTTTTTAATAGACACAGAACGAGTTGTGCTCAATCTTTCACACATTCTTACTTATGGAATTATTTCCTCAGGGTAAATGACTGGAACAGTTATGTCAAAGGCTGCTGTGCCAGCAGCTTACTGGCAAGGGGCACACAGTTACATCTTCACTGCCACTGCTGCACGGTCAGGTTCATTGTCCTGCTCTAATGAGGAAGGGATGGCTTAACACAGGTGGTCTCCTGCTTATCTACTAGAGATGAGGACATACAGAACACATATGTACTGTCTACTTACTGTTGATAGTTCATGGCCACCTTAGAGACTTTTACAACAGCAAACTCCACGGCACCCTTTGAGCATCATACATAGTATTCTTGTCATGTCTGAGTCAATGTGTCATCATTTCATTACCTTTAAGCATTGTTTAAACCATTTCAAGAGACAGGAGTGTGACTGCACTTAAATGTCAAATGTGATTGTTTCATTTTGGGTCATCTTTCCTTCTATGCCAACTGTGACGAAATATTTGCATGTTTGCAGCTCTTCAGAAGCCAAGTTTGGGAGGAGGGCTATAGGCTAGCTCTTGATGGGGATGTCCTTCTGTACATATGTTTCTCTTATTGGTTGATGAATAAAACACTATGGCCAATAGAGGCAGGGAGATAGGTGGGACTAGGAGATGAGAAGAATTCTGGGAAAGATAGGAGGGAGAATCTACCAGAACGACAGACCACATTTAGCCGGTAAAGGAGATACCGGTCCAGGCATTCTCCGGTAAGCCAAGACCACGTGGAAATACAGAGATTTATAGAAATGGGTTAATAAATTAAGACAGAGCTAGCCAATAAGAAGGCCTAATCATTGGCCAACAGTTTATAATTAATATAAGTCTTTGTGTGTTTATCCAGAGCTAAGAAGAGTGGTGGGACCTGGCAGGACAAGAAAATCCAGCAACAGGCTTTCCCATATGCTGCCCCTGAGGGCTAAAGCCTCCTTGCCTCTTAGAGAGTCTTAACTACCTGCATCCACCAGAGTGGGGCAAGGTCTTCGCTGGCTCATGCACAGGGCTCTATTGCACTATACACTTACACTGATTGTACCACAGTGTATTGTTCCTTCTGGACCTTCATCTTCTTACCAAACTTGTCAGTGTTCATCATGAATATTATAAAAAAAGGTACCTGGTGCATAGCGAAATATAAGTGACTTTGGGTGTATGGCAGATTGAAAGATTAGTTTTTAATGAAAAGTACTATAACAAGATCAAATAGAATGCTATTCATCTCAGTCCATCATTTTTCTGAGTGATACTTAGTATTGAAGGGACAGTTAAAGAAAATTCAAATTAATGCTAGCGTAAATAAATAAATAAATAAATAAATAAATATATTACCAAGGACTTAGGTAGCGTTATGCTTTTTCTCTTAAATGGATTCTTCTTAATATGCCAAAATGCAAATACCATGATAACCATTAGAAAGAGGATCAAAGGAACAACAATCAGAATCCAAATTGAATCTAAAAAAAAAAAGATAAAAGAAAAGGAACAAATAAGTCACAAATAAGATGAGAACACTTCTATTATGCATCAAAAGTCTCAGCACCATTCTTTAGCAGATGTACATGTTAATATCGTCAGTACTTGAAAGAACATTGGAGAACTGGGCAGTGTGATGGAAAGCTCAGCATGCATCCTAGAAGTTAGCTCTTCCCAGGCTGTCGTACTGAAGCACCCTGGGACTACACTGTCATGACACAAGGTAGCTGAAATAGCTTCTTAAACATCTCCACAGCCTCACAGCAGGGTGCTACCAGGGGACCCTTTCCCCTCAGCTAAAAAGGCATTTTTAAAATGCCCTTCCTTAGAAGAAATAAATTCCAGCGACATTGCTGATAACTCTTAAGACAATGTAGCCCTGCTCCTTCCTTACTATACATCCATTTGAAGACTCATGTGCCTATAAACACAGAGAAGCCACTTGCACACACATGCCCAGGCCCACAGAGGAGCATTGGACAGCAGTAAATACCCACCCATTGTGTATTTTGCTCTTACTCTGCTCTCTATTTACAAAGCTTCATCATCAGCATTTCCCAGAGTCCTCTCTTCTAAAAATATACAGTAGTCTACATGTTGTGACAGTGTGTGTCTCTGTAACAGCATTTCATAACTCTATTTCTGCTCTAAAACTACCTCTCTGGAATAGTAACTACATGATACTGCTCAATGAATGAATGCCTATACTATGTCCAATATGGGCTGTGGTTAAACAAATTAAATCATCACAATAGCAATCAATCAATCAATAAATGAAACAAAATAAGGAATATCAGTGTTGTATTAGAAAGTCCCACTGAAATCCCACCAGGCTGGAAAAACAGCATGCAAGGCCTACTCATGTGACAAGGGGGACATAATATTAGCTAAGGTGCTGCCACCATGTGACCATTAAATCAACCCTCCCCCCTTTATAGTTTAGGCTTTTTACATAGTTGGGTCTGGGATAAGTGCATCAATTTTGTATATAACGAAGGATTTTGTTTTCCAAATAGCTTAATGCAAATCACAGCACAAAATGCACTACATTATTTTAAGTCATATTTGAAGCTTTTATAGAATGGCCTGAAAACTATAAATATTAAATTTTACATGTCTGCTCTAACATTTCAGCCTAGATTTCCATTATTCAAAAAGACATATTGGGCTGAAGGAGTAGCTCAGTGGTTAAGAGCACTGGCTACCCTTCTAGAGGACCTGGGGGTTAAATTCCCAGCACCCACGAGGCAGCTTACAACTATATGTTACTCAAGCCTCATGTCATCTGATGCTCTCTTCAGGCCTTCTCAGGAACTGCATACATGTGGTCCATAAGACAAATATAAAGACTAAAAAACACCCATATACATAAAATAAAACTCTAAAAAATGATAAATGAAAACAGTGAAGGTTCAGGCTAAAACTAAAAAATATAAAAACAACAGCATTAATATTAAATTTGGTGAAAAAAATAATGGAAACTATCCCCTACACAATAGCTTAAAAGAAAAACTAAGGATAAATGTAACCAAGGAGGTACGAGACCTGCCAATGAAAATTAAAAACAAAACACTGGCAAAACAGGTAGAACAATACATGGAAAGACTGCCCAAATCCATGGATTACAGTGAGTATTGGTGAAAACATCTGTACTAGCACTGGTCTACAGTTTTAAATATAATCTCCACCATAACACTAATTACATTCATCTCAGAACTAAAAGAAACAATCCTAAAATTCATATGAAATCCACCATAAAAGACCCAAAATAGCTGAAATAATTTTGAACAAAAAGGTCAAAATTGAAGGAATCAAAACGCCTGACTTCAAACTAAAGGGACAGTCACCAAAGCTCAGAATGCTAGGTGCGGATAGGCAGATGCACAGGCCAGTGTAGCAGAGCGGAGGTCCTGGAAAGGAACCCACTAGCTACAGACCACCAAAGACGAGAGCCTTCGCAATAAGCCATGCTGGGAAAACCCGCCAGTAGCATGCAGAGGCCAACCCTTGCTATGTTTCCCACAAAACTCAACTCAAAATGGATCGAGGACTAGAAAACATGAGTCACATTTGAAGATAAAGGTATAGGGATGCTCTGGACAGGGAACCAACAAGAGACCATGCAAATGAATTATTTAAATTCAGGTGTAACAAAGGAAACAATGGACACAGTGAAGAGAATGGGAGAAAACCACTGCCATTCACTCATTTGATAGAAAGTTAATATAAGGAGTTTAAAAACTTAACAAAAATGAGTAATCCAGTTAAAGAATGGGCAAGTGAATAGACATTTATGAGAGAAGAAACATGGCAAGACATACACAGAAAAATACTAAATGTCCTTAGCCCTCAGGAAAATGCAAATCAAAACTATAATAGCAGATCATCTCTTTAGTTGATAGGGCCATTAGCAAAACAACAACAGAAATGCAGGGAGGGTGCAGAAGAAAAGGCAATCTTGGAGGCTACGGGCAGGGATGTAAATTAGTACAGACTTCATAAAGAACAGTACAGAGGCCAGAAAGAAACTAAGGTTTCAACCATGTATGTGATCCAGCCATCTCACTCATGGGTATGTACTGAGAGAAAATGAAGCTGCATGCCCATGCATATTGCAGAACTACTCATAATACCTGAGAGGGAGATGAAGACTACACTGTCACAGCTAATATACTCTTTTATCTTAGATAAAAAAAATATTAGGACAAGACTTAGACTTTCCAGATTAGGACAGCTGTCAGAGTAATTTCTGCTATATGCCATTACCCTAAAACTGGCCATGTAGAATGTGCCTATTGTTCAGTGTTGCTCTTGCTGGTTGGTTGTAGGTCTTAATTTGTGTATGCTTTTACCTTTCCTTCTCCTGGAGTATACTTGATATTTGTTAATGTATGTAGTTTTGGTAACAGGCTTAAAACTTTCTTCATTAGTCAAAAAGGGGAATTGTGGTGGCATCTTGCCAGTGAACTTGCAGTAGTGGCCACACCCTTTGGGCATGGTTTCAGGTGCAGACATGACCTGAAGTTAAGGTAGAGGAGGAGTGGGCACACACTCTCTTGGGTTGCAGAGAGCACTGCAAGAGCAGAGACTGCATCTTCTGAAGCAGGAAGACCTCAGCGGTTATTTACTCTTATCTGTGTAAGTCCTTCCCTAATAAACACCTATTTATCATTTACCTTGGGTCTGTCAAACTCATTTAAACCCCTGCCTTCAGTTTATTCTAGAGCTATTATGAGTGACAGTAGACCAGAAACATAGATTTACTTTGCCTCAAATTCCATGTTCCAACATGGAAGCAGTTTCAGAGGGTTTTTAATAGTTTTGCAGAGCAAAGGAAGTCACAAATCAAGGCAAGATTAAAATATACTGGTGTGTGCACCAGAGAGGCGAGTACATTGAGATGTGAGTGCTCACGATGCTGATGACAGTCCTCTCTCTTGGATTGGTGGGAGCTTGTGTTCTATGATAATAGTTTCTGGGAGGGTTTTACTTATTATCACAATACATTAGTTCAGATGCAGAGTGGGGTAAGGCATGGCTATTCCAGAAAGTTAAAAACAGCCCAAGACAAAGTAGTTAGTCTTTGACCCTACAGAATTCCAGTCTCTCCACAGTACTGAGATTCCCATCAGTCTCTGCAGACACAGCTTTTTTTTTTTTTTTTTTACTTTTAAAAAGAAAATAAATATCGTTTTATTTTGGTTTTAGGGGTTACTCTGTAGATCCCTGGTTGTTCCAGAACTTGCTTTGAAAACCAGGCTGGTATCAAACTCAGAGAGATCTGCGTCTGCCTTCCGAGTGCTGGGATTAAAAGTGTGTGCCACCACTGCCTGATAAAAGAAAATATTGTGATTGTTTCCCAGGAACTGAGTATGTAGAGATTGCTTGTCTTCACTGACCTTACAAGTGATGCTGTGGTCTGTCCCTGACTTTACAAGTTATACTACGGTCTGTCCCAAGGTCACCTTAGTCCATCAGAGAGCTGGTTGGGGACTTAAGATGGATATGGGGGCAGCACACTCATGCTGTGTGAACATTTTTTGAGGAGATGTGAACAGGATCTACTCACCCTGGATAGAGTACCACTGACAGACACAAAGAAATAATTCTACTTAGGTGAGCTTAGTGGACCAATGAGTTCAACTGGGGTTATCTAGAGAAGTATGAGTAGGGGGATTACTTATAAGAGCATGAACAACTCATGAGTGACTATGCCATTGAAGAAGAAAAAAATCTCTCCCAGTATCCATTAACTGCTACAAATCTTCGGGGGTGGGAGGAGGGGGAGGCTTGTATGCCATTCACATCTAGCAACCAATAATTGTCTAAACACCTGGCTACGGTAGAGGCCTTGTGAGCCCCTCCCCTCTTCATGATGGAAGTTAATGGCAGACACAGCTTTTTTTCAGGAGTTTATCTACACCATCACTTATTAATTGTATGAGATAATGAGCTTCATTCTGACATTGCATACATGTATATATTTTGATCATCTTCAATCTCCAACAAGTATTACCCAGTTCTTCCCTCCCACAGACCAGCATGTCTGTTCTCCTTTCCTGACCTCCCAGCTCTCCTTTGACTTTCTCAAATATCTCTATCATTTTGTTTTATTATCATTACATATATACATTTTATACATAATACAGATATATAGATATGGGGGAGGAGGAGAGAGGGAGCCAGTGGGGGGCATTCGAGGATGGGAGAGAGTGGGAACTGGGATTGATATGTAAAATAAGATTGTTTCTAATTTAAATAAAAAAAAGTTTAAAAAGCACCAAATATATAAATACAACCTTCTGAGTCTGTGTAGAGTTGCCAGAATGTATATGATTTTAGGGCAGACCACTTGATATTGGATAAACAATTGAGAGCTTATGCCTGGGGAAGAGTGACTGCCCCTCTCTCAGCAGTCATTTAATTGCCTGTAGCTCTTCATTCAGGGGTAGGGACTTCTAAGATTCCACCCATCCATTTTGGCTTGTCAAGTGGTGTTGTCATTATTTGGGTCTTATTTAGGGAGCCACAGTGGTGAGATTTCTTGGGTATAACTTCCTTGACATATAAAAGGAGAAAGCTTGGTCCTCTAACTCTTAAAATCATTCCATCCCATCTTCTGTAATATGCCCTGAGCCTTAGGTGAAGGGGTTGTAGTTGTTATCGGTGGGTGCTTGGCACCCCAGAGTCAGTTGTTCTCTGCATTATGACCAGTTGTAGCATTTTGTTTTCTAATGGTCTCTGCTAAAAAATAAAGCATGTTTGATAAGGGGTGAGAGCTGCACTTTTCTGTGGGTGCATAAGCATGGGTATTTAGAACACAGTTAGCAAGTATACTGGTTTGGGCAAGTGGCAGTAGTAGGTTCTCATCTAGGTCCCATGGCCCCACCAGTTATGGGCAGTTGGCTAAATTTACAATGCCAGATGCAAATTCCCTTCTATTTAGCATGTCTTAAGTTCCAATTCAGAGGCTGTTGGTTATCTCCAAGACATCAATCAATACCACTATTTCAGTTTGGGGATATCTTTCCATGCTGATCATTGCTGTTCATAAATGTCACAGTTGGGTAGGACTACTGGTTGGTTTTCTTTCTTGGCAGCTTGCAGAACACTCATTTCCTTTTCAACTGCCTTTCATTGTTCCCCTGGAAAGGTATACATTTTTTTTTAAAGCCATGTGAATTAATAATAATAATAATAATAATAATAATAATAATAATAATAAACTAGCACTTTTTTTAGCATAGAAAAGATATTCTTAAGGAAAACTTGAAAACAGGAAAATAAACAAGAATATAATTTACAAGATGAAATATTCTACAGATTTAAAAATGTTAACAAAGTATGTGAAAGAAAATGATAGGATATTAATAAATCTTTAAAATTTTTGTTTTGTTTTTTTGAGACAGGGTTTCTGTGTACCCTTGGCTGTTCTGGATTTTGCTTTGTAGACCAGGTTGGCCTGGAACTCACAGATCCACCTGCCTCTGACTCCAGAGTGCTGGGATTAAAGGTGTGCACCACCACCACCCATCTTAAAATATTCTTATATTTAACGAGTGCAATAAAGTGCTTGGCTTCTTTATTCTGGGGTGGGGGGAGAGGGTCATCATTGTATTTATTGTAGTCAACATTGAAGGAAAACCTGTATAGAATGAATATGCAATTAAAATCAGCTTTGATAGCAAGTAAGTCAATTGTGACGTACGTCTGTTAAAATGTTTTCTATGGAAGAGTTATCCTTTGAAATTTGGAGAGCATAGGCACACAGTACACAAAATTGTATACACTACACAATATCATTACAGGTATATGAAGAAACCTAAAATAAAACCAGAATGCACAGAAAACCCCAAACTGCGACTAAGGACAGGACTCCAGGTAATTGTCTCTTCTAACTTTAAAAACAAGCTACATTTTAATTTATTTGTGTGTGGATACCTGCATGCACATGCCAACCCACACGAGTGGAGATTAGTGGACAACTTGAGGGAGTTCGTTTTTTATTTCCAGTTGTGTATCCGGGATCCTACTAAGACCATCAATCTTGGAGGCAGGTACCTTTCCCCACTGTGACATCTTCATGGTCCACTTCAGGCTTTTCTCAAGTTAACATTTTCATATTACCATTTGAAATACAGTTATTTGTGTACATGATTTTATGTATTTGTTAGGTGTCTTTTCTTTCCTGGGTCAATCATCTGGTGGCGTTCTAATTTGGTTGCTACATTATATTTCAGTGCCATAGAAACTGTCTTGTTTTTAGTTATGAGCTTCTCTGGGGAAAGGGATTATGGGATATTTTTAAAAGAAAAGACATGTGCTTAAGTTATAAACCAACCCATTTCTTTTCCTGTTGCCCTACTTCAATTTGCATTCTCTGTCTTCAGCTGGAAGAAGGCACAAGCTTACCTTTTCTGATGTTATGGACAGGAGAAACACAGATTTCTTTTGATTTTTCTGTTGTAATGCCCCAGTAATCTGAGACTCCATCTACTGAGACACAGTATCTGGAATCCAGTGTGGACATTGAAATGTTGAACTGGCACAGGATTTCATCGCAATCGTCCATATTGATTCTATGTGCTGTATATTGGATCTACATGGAAAAACAACAATATGAAAGTGTATGGTTTCTTTAATCCGAAGGGGAAAAATCATTGAATTATCCTAGTTAAACACAATGGAAAACATGGATAGAATGAACAGGAAATTAAAATCAGCTTTGATATCAAATAATAAGTCAATCTGTGACTTACCACAGCATGAGGAAGAACATCTTTAAAAATGTTTTCAATTGGAATGGGTATTGTTTAAAACTTGAAGGGTGTTAAGTGTTCGAGGGCGCAATGGGAACAGGACTCAAGGTCTCAGCCAGGCACACCCCAATATTGCCACCTTGGAGACTAGGCCTTTAATGTACAGGCCACACTGGATACCTAAGCAAGCTAACAACACTGCCTTTGTGTATCCAGCCCCTAGCCCAGGTGATCATGTGCTGTAGTTTGTAGAATGAATGAAGTACCAGTGTACAAGAGATCCCTGGCAACATTTTTATGTACTTACTGCACAGGGAAGCTGCAGCCTCATGCAGCTGCTTTCTTATGCCTCCTGTGAAACCCTTTCCTCTCTCCCCAGCTGTTTCTAGTATTCCAAGAACTGGATAAGCAAGTATTGGCTAGTTCCATAGCCCCAGACACTTATATTCTTCAAGTCTTAAACAATCCCTTTAACAGGCCTCATGGGAAATGGTTACGCTTTGAGAATAAAATGCCACTCACAGGCTTATGTAATAAGGCCCAGGTCTTCAGTAGGTAGTGATATAATGGGAGATTCTGGGAAGTTTTAGAAGTAGAGTCTAACTGGAGTAAATAGGTCATTTGGGGTTTAGTTCTTGGGGAGCCTTGTCCTGGCCACTGCTGCCTCATTTTCTGACATGTCCTGTCCAAGGACATGAAGTCAGGTGACCATGGACTGAACCCTCAGAAACTGAGATCCAAAATAAACCCTTCCTTCTTTAGGCTGTTTCCGTCAGACATGTGGTTGCAGTGATGAGAAAACAATGAATACAGACATGCTTAGGTCCCAGGGCATGCCCCTGAAATGTGCTGAGATCCCCCTACCCCTATCCCCAGCCACCACCTCCTTTGCTTCTGCTCTGGTTTGAGACGAAATCTCTTGTGATAGTGGTGGCTAGCAAGGCGACTGCTGTGTGTGTGTGAGTCACGGGTTTGGGTGCCAGCATGAGGAGGAAGGGAGAAAGAGTGGTTATCACTTGTACATGTGCTGCTGTTATGTGCCCCGTGTGCTGCCCTCACCAGAGCTGAGTGGATGTAAACATCACTCTTTGTGTCTCTAAAAGAGACCTAAATAAACTTTCCCACTTTGTAAGCTAGATGGCTTAGATGTGTGTTCATGTGTATTACAGTGCCTGTTTAATATGCCAACAATTTGGTGCAGATAAGAGGTAAGAAATTTAACAGAAAGTCAGGAGTACTGTAAGGAGAATCTTGTAAGGAACAAGGAAAAAAACAAAACAAAACAAAACAAATCTGGACCGCCTGAAATGAAATAATCTGTTGAGTATGTAAAGAATACAAAGAGGAGAGGACAATTCCCAACCCAAGGACTAGGCAGGAATATGCCAGAGGGAAATGGTGAAGGGCGTTCTGGGAAAGTTCCAATGAGCCATGGGCGAGCAGCATCTCACTCAAGAGAAAAGAACAAAACTCCACCCCTGCGATGCTTGCTTTGTTGCCCACTGTACCCTTTCCCCAAGCTCACTGGCCCCTGGTGCTGTCCCCACAAGCCAACGGTGCCTCTGCTGAGATCTTTGCCTTTCCTAGGTCCTATGCTTCAAATGATGTCCCCATGTACAGCTGCAGGGACCAGCTTCTGACTCCAGCGTTGACTCCAGCTGTCTCCTTTCCTGGCAGGGTTCTCTGACCCCTCCATTGAAAGCCACCATTCTATCCCTGCAGGCTACTCACACCCTTCTCTGCTGCACTGGGATTATCCCGAGTTTTGTTTGTACTGTTCACTTCCGTAATTCTGGGTACTTGGAAGGCGCACAGGAGGGTTTTGATAAATATTAAACACATATTAAACAAATAAATAAATGGCTACCTCAAGATCCAGCCATTCCTCTCTTGGGTATATACCCAAATAGTGCATTTTCATACAACAAGGACGTATGTTCAACCATGTTCATAGCAGCTTTGTTTGTAATAGCCAGAACCTGGAAGCAACCTAGATGCCCCTCAACTGAAGAATGGATAGAGAAAATGTGGTACATTTATACAATGGAGTACTACTCAGCAGAAAAAAGCAATGGAATCTTGAAATTCGCAGGCAAATGGATGGAACTAGAAGAAACCATCCTGAGTGAGGTAACCTAGTCATAAAAAGACAAATATGGTATGTACTCACTCGTATATGAATTTTAGACATAGAGCAAAGGATTACCAGCCTATAATCCTCTTCACCAAAGAAACTAGGAAACATGAAGGACTCTAAGGGATAAATGGTCCCCAGGAATGGAAGTGGCATGAACTCCTGAACTAATTGGGAGCATGAGGGTAGGGGGGAGGGAGCTGCTACAATAAGAGCAAGAGAAGAGGAGTAGAGGAGAGGAAATGGAGGGGCAGAAATATTGAGTTGGGGGAAGAATAGAGGAGAGA